ATAATATTTAGAATTTCTATAAGAGATCTTGGAGTGATTTTCTCTCGTTTTGTTTTTTGATTTTTGATTTTGGATGAAAATGGAATATATTCAACCAAACGTCATGGTGCATGGAAGAGCCCACCTAAGAATGAGGTTACAAACAAAACAAATTAGCAGTCGGAACATATTGCCAGACTCAACCTTCAAAAATTGAAGTTTGGCTTCGCACTCCCACTCTTTCCTCCTCCTACCTTCTTTCCACCTTCTATTAAATATAGACTTTACAGATTTAATATGAATGACTTAAATTTAATATTTTTTATGTTTTATGTTTTATTTTATATTTATTAAAATAAAAATTATAAAAAATAATAAAAATTTTGCTTTGTAATTTGATAGTCTAAATTTAATGTTGATAATTCAAATTTAATATTAAAAATTTAAACTGACCACCTAAATATATGATGCATATATATTTTGGACAGTACAATCAATTTTTAATATTAAATTTGGATTATTTATCTTAAATATGAACTATTTAAATTTGTGAGTATATTTATTAAAAAATTATAAATTTTTTAATTTTTTATTTTAATAAATGAAAATAAAAATAAAAATAAAAATTTTTTAGTAGGGTCGTGAAGGTGGAATTCGGCGAAGGAGAGAAGCCGAGTCATGAAAATTGTAAATGGGCGTAGCGTGCGATGGACAATGTTTTTTTTTTTTTTTTTTGTTTTACCGCAAACATGCGGCTTCATTGAAGCCAATGGGGCAAATACACCTTTTGAGCTTGAAGAAAATTATAAAAAAAGTTTATATATTTTAATATTTTGTTTTTCTTTACTTAAATATTTTGCATCTTTTAACTCAATTTTAAAAATTTTAGATTCATAAATTTTTTAATTATTAATTTTAAAAATGTTGTATCTTATAGCCCAGGGTTCTAGCACTGTCATTGTATATATTGGTATTGGCAGCTGATGATTTTGGTTCACCCCGGGCTCTTTGACTGTTCTTTTTTTAAATTCACCTCCTTTATTTAACTATAAATTAGTAACTCCCGGCAAAAAAATTATAAATTAGGGACTCAGTTTAACTAAAAAATGTGTATGTTCTCCTATCTTTTGGATTATCCAATAACCCTTCAATAGATGATGGAAAAAAATAGTATGCACTAAATGAAGAATGTGCATTTGTTTTTTATTTAAAAAAATTATGTTAATTGAATCTCAAAAACTCATTAAAATTAAAAGGCTAACATGTATAAAACTCCTTGAGCTTTGAGATAATTGCATATAACTCTCCTCACTTTTAAAAATTTAAAATTAACCCACTAACTTTTAATTTTATTTTATAAAACCCCTTGTTGTTAATTATGTTATTGTTTATGAGGATTAAAATATCATTCAACTAAAAAATATTATTAAATAAAATATTATATTGTATAACTATTTACAATAAATTTTTTATATTTTTTGGATAATTGAGGCATTGATAATAGTCAAAACAAATGTTATTATCACCATATAACATTTTAAATATTTAATTTTGTGTTAGTTTTTTTTATTTTTTTGTTTTTGGTTATCAATGGTGCATAGTTTTTTAGTATTAAAAGATAAATTAATTTAACATGATGATATTTAAAATTTTAAATATTTTAATCATGTGCATTGCATTAATCTAACATGAAAATATAAATAAAAATTTATTTTTTAAAACAATAAAATCATGCACCATTGATAACAAAAGATGGATAAAAACTAATATACACATAAATATTTATAATTTTATACAATGATAATAATATTTTTTATTGATGCCTCAACTATTCAGAACATATTAAAAATCTATTATAAATAGTCATACAATATAATATTTTTATTTAATAAATTTTTTTAATTGAATGACATTTTAACCCTCATAAAAAATAGCATACTTAACAATATGGGATTTTAAAAAATAAAATTAAAGATTAAAGGGGTTAATGTTAAACTTTTAAAGGTAAAGAGGGTTATATGTAACTGTCTCAAAATTTATAAAGGTTTTATGTATTTTAGCCAAATTAAAATAAGCTTACACCAATACTCCCTCCGGTTTCATTTATAAATCACATTCTAAAAGATCTATTTGGTCACATTTATAAGTCACAATATATTTTTTTATATGATATTTGAAAAGTATTTTTAAAATTACTTTTCATGAAAGAAAAAAAGTAATATAACATTATTTTTTAAATTTATTATATAGGGGCATATTTAAAATTTTATACACTTTTATTTCTTACACTTTTTTTTTACATTGGTATTAATAAAATTGATAAAAATAACTTATAAAGAAGATTAGGGGAGTAACTTATAAGAATGAAGGGTTGAATTGTTGGCAAAAGGGGAAAAAAAGAAAGAAAGAAGGTAAATTTGTTGACTATTGTAATATTGTAAATGTGAGAAAAAAATTAATCATTTAATTCTTATAGTTTGAATCTAATTGTAACTCGGTATAACTTAGTCCTTAAATTTTAATTTGATTGTAAATCAATTCTTAAACTTTGCCTCTTATAATTTAATCTCTAAAATTTTAACTCTTAAATATTAATCCCTGTATTTTAAAAATAAAATTAAAAAACTTAAAATATTTAAAATTTTAATTTTTATAATATTTATAAAGATTAAAAGAGTTTAATAATTTAAAATATTATTCATAAATTTTAAAAAAATTAATCTTTATAATTTAATTTTTTAAATATAAGGGTCAATATTTAATATGTTAAAACTTCAAAGACTAAATTGTAAGAGATAAAGTTTAGAGATTAATTTATAATCGAGTTAAAATTTTAGGGATTGAGTTATAATGAGTTAAAGTTTAAAAATTAAATTACAATTAAGTCAAAATTGCAAAGATCAATGATTAAATTGTTTTCAATAGTTTATAGATATTTTTATATTCCCTTTAAGTTTAAGAGGTCTATCTTACTTGATAATCTTTTAAAACCTAATTTACCAAAGCTTTAAGAGAGAACAACAGAGAGGTTTCAAGAGGAGTTAGATGCAAGTGTCAAATTTTATAAATATGTAAGTTTGACTTTTAATTTTGTAATTTTATTATGATAAATTTGTAACTTGTTTAAAATTTTAATATTCAATCATATTAAAATGTAAAAAATAAATTATAAATATCTCAATGAAATCATAAAATTATAAAAAAAAATTGTAAGTTTATAAAAGTTAACACTTGAGACTTAATTTAAATTAATTTTTTCTCTTCAAATCTATTTGTCATTCTTCCAAGCTTTAATTTAAAAATTATTTTAAAATAATGCTCTGTATCAAAGAAAGCTTTTACAGTTAACTGCAATAATGTTTACACTTATTTGAAGATGAGAGCAAAACTGCGAGTTCCTAAAATTGAATTGCTCCTCCCTGCTTTTGGCTTTCTATAAGCCATGGTGCTGGTACCAATACTGTTTTTTTATTTTTTATTTTTCCTTTTACATCTCGCAACATATATTTATGATCGTTTGTTTAAATTTTTTTATGAAAAAATAATAAAACACTTTTTTTAAAAAAATTCATTTAATTTTATGATATTCATTTAAATTTTTAAAATCAAAAAAAAATAAAAAATATTTATAGTTTTTTTTTTTGCCAACTAGTTACTTTGGTGAACTACTTAGAATGATTTTTAAAATAATATGATGCGATATATTAGAGTGAATGTTGTAAAAATACAGAGATACACAAAAATATCATCAAATTCAAAATAAATAAACAGCAACTCGTTTGTTTATGAATAGAGATCCAATAAAACTTCATAAATTTTAACAATCACTAAATACTGATCACTTTTATTATTTTAATTAAATATAAAATAATTTTAACTTTTTTGTAAAATCTCCAAATTATCTAAACATTACTTTTTTAATCTTAAAATATGCTATAAACTTATGTCAAAAAATTTAGAACTTTGAGTTATCTTTTGGGAACATGATAATAAAGTCCCAAAAGATGAATTGATGACAGTTAACTCTCAATAATTTTTTATAAAATAAATTATAAATATCTACTATTCAAACAGTTATAAATAGGGATTTAAATTTCAAATTAATTATCATATTTAAATTTAATGTCATATTTGTAATTAAAATTTTTAAATTTGTAACTATTTGAAATAATATTTACAACTAATTTTTGAAAAAAAAAATTGTTGGAAACTTAACTATCATTAATTTTTTTTTTTGAAATTTAAGTGTGATTCTTTTTCATCTTTTTCTTAGTAAACACAAGGTCTCGTTTGGTACAATGGAAGAGTGTTTGATGGAATCGAAATTAAAATCGGAATTGAAATTGAAATCAAAATAGAATTGAGTTATAAATGTATGTTTGGTATGAAGATGGAATCTAAATATAATATTAATAAAATATATGTATTTAAAATAAATAAAGACCAAAATGCCCTTATAAAAAAAATAAAAAAACTCAGCCATAATGATGAAGTGTGTATGTGGGGCACTTATGACAATTTTCATATAATTGTGGCAATTCATCATGATGGAGATGAAATTGAATTCTGGATATTTTAACAGAATTGAAATTCATAAAAATTGAATTCATGCATACCAAACTATTGAAAACATGATTCCAATTCTAATTTCATTTCTCTTGGACCCAATTCTAATGTATCAAACATGATCAAAGAGTATATCCTGTCAGCAACATCAATTGTTTCCACTAAGATATGAAGGACAAAGATTTCTCCCACTAAATTGTGTAGCATACAAGGGCTTAAGTTGTCTTTAACTGGCTTAATATGTTCAACAATATATTTCTCTAGTTGTATTAAATTTATATGATTTTTTAAATTTTTTATCAAAATAAAAAAATTGTTTATCCAAGTATATTATATTATCTAAGCTCATATATTATATATCAAGACTATTTCAATAAAAATGCAAAAATAAACAAAGTTTTTTTTAAAAAAATAAATGTATTCTCAATAAGACTTCAAAAAAATTATATTATAATTTACTCATTTGATTGATTGAAGAAAATGACCCAAAAAAAATGAAAAGAAAAGAAAGCAAATGTCATCCATTCCTAATTTGAGATGGCATCCATGATCCAAGCTTAATTAGCACGCGCAAGGACTACGTGGTTCTGCTTCTGAAACAGTTTCGGACATCCTCGGAAAATATCTGCAAACATAAGAATGGCCTAAAAAACCAAAAAGAAAGACATATATAAAAAGCATAGGATTGTTGTAGTCACGAGGATGACTACTGGTCGAGAGAGAGAGAGAGAGAAGAGAGATGAAATTGAATATTCTTACATGTCTTGTTCATGTTCATTTTCCAGCGCAATTTTAGCAACACATGAGAATGCCTCTTCAACATTGTAGTTCTCTTTTGCAGACGTTTGAAAGTAAGGCATGTTTCCCCTTGAATCACACCATTCCTTCACTTTCTCCTCACAAAACCTCCAAAGTTCAAACATATAGGAATCATGTGGTTTAGTTCGTTGTATTCAAGAATAATTTGATCCTAAAGACTTCATATAATTATATTTATAAATTACTTTAAAATAATTCTTTAAAATTTAAAAAAAACCTTAAAACTTATTAGGCCTTATTTGATATATAGGAGTTTGGCCCTAGAGAAACCCAAGGGGAAGGAATTGGAATCAAGCTTTGAATAATTTGATATGCATCACGTAACATCCCGAATTTATAATCATGCATAATGACTAATTAGGAATGAATCAGTTATTTAATGTGGGATTAGAGTTCTACGTGATGAAGTGTTATATCGACTTATTGGGATGTTATATAAACAGATATGAGTAAAAGAGTAGAATCCCGGAGCAAAGCGTTGTAAGCATAGTGAGGATTTCCCTCACTGTGCCACACATCGTGGTTGGTGATAAATGCGCCGTGGTGCATGGAGCAAAAATCAAATTAGTAGTAGAATGTGTCTAGCTCGTGGAAAACAGAAGGGAGAACATAAGAGAAGAGATCAAATGTGGAGAAGTGCAAGGGATCTGCTAGAGCAAGCTAAATCAGGAGCAAGGATTGTGTCTCTGACTCATTACTTATTGAGTAAGTACGTTAACCTCCAAACCTACCCTATTTTTTTCTTAATTTTAACTAAGAGAAAGTGAATTCGGGAGTTTTAACAAGTTGATTTTTTACCCAATCGTAATAAAAAGGTTTCTCGGAGTTTAAACTAGTGCTTTTTAACTGGTTTAAGTCAAAATGATATAAAGTTTTGAAGCTGTAAGCAAGAATTGCCCTAATCTAGAGAGAGAGTACTGAGAGAAGAAATTGTTAAAAAATGTTAAAGCTTGGAACAAGGAAAAATTAGTGGTAATGTGTGTAATCGATTGTGACCTGAGGATTTGATAGCAATTAAATGTTCAATTGCAATAATTGGCACTTTTGGTCAATAGAGGAATTGACTCTGAATGCCAATTCTGTGTAGATTCTAGTGTGTAATGCATGAATTAGAGAAAGAAATTTGAATAGGGTTGAAGTTACATGTAACATCCTGATTTTTTATATAATAAAGAAATTGTGGAATTAGGTTTTGAGAAAAAAAAAAAAAAAATGATATAATAGGAATTTATATTATTTGAGGTTATTTAGAAATAATATTATGGTTAGGTATATTAATTATGAATTTAAAAATTTAAATTTAAAACTCACATAAGAAAATATTTAGTTAAGATATAATACATAAATAATTTTTTTTATGTATCTGTTTAAAAAAAGAGAAGGTAGAAGGAACAAAAAAAAAAGGGGGTGTTTGAAGGTTGTTGTTCTAAGTCCCACATTGGTTAGATGAGGGAAGAGAAGAGGTGCCTTCATGTATAAAAAGGCGGGGGTGTGTGCATTAGGAAGCATGAGAGGCTAAGATGCAATTTAGAGAAAATTGCAACTTTTATCCAAAGGTTTGAATAATTAAATTCAAACCTATAGTTGTTTTTAATATAATTTTGGGACTCACAATCCCATTTTTATATTATTTTTTTCTCTTCCTCTCACGTTGCTCGGGCGTGTTCTCGCAAGGGGGATTATTTTCTTTTTCTTCAGGTATGTTCTAACTTTCCTGTTTAGATTAGCATTTAAAATTTATTTAATTACAAAAATTAATTTTATAGTTATTTTCTAAATAATATTAGCTTTCTAGTGATATGATTATTTTGTAGGATAGAGTAAATATTTTGATTAGGATTTTTCTATAGGATAGTTAATCTGATGATATGAGGATATTAAAATAATAGGTTAAAATTCTTAGGGATATAAAAAATATTATAGAATATTTTTTTAAGGGTTGAAACTCATGCTTAAGAATTTTTGAGTTAAAATCTAGATCTATATGGTTGAATTTATGTGGACTCTGAGACGTAGGGATAAACCTATGATTATTAAATATTTATCTAAGTATGAATAGGTATTTTTGAGGTTATAGAAAGGTGATTTGAGGCTTCAGGATAATTCTAAAAATTTAATTATTTTGGATGAATTTTAGAATATAGAAGGATGAAATTGTGATACTAGAAGTGAATTGAGGATAAAAAAAAATAGTTCATTAGGGTACGAGAATTTTAGAAAAGAATTTGCGAAGGTAAATGAGGCATAAATCTTAAATTAGTGTTAATATGGACTATAGATCTAAGACTTTCTAACTCTTTAAATTAAAGTTATTTATTTTAATGTAAAATTAATATATAGTATTGTGAAATAATTATGTAGATTATATTGACAAAGATAGTGGTGAAAAAAAGGAGTTGTGAAGGGGAACTTGTTATTCAAGACACAGGTAACATTATTAATGTGTTGTGATGAGTGTGTTTGTGAATGGTTATGTGTTGTTTTGTTGTTTGGAAAAATTATGAATTATTGAAAATAAATACTGTATATACTTGTTTGAAATATTGCCAAGTGGGTTAAAAATTTATTTTTGTTTATCATGATGAGATATTATTGTTCGGATATATTCCTGTTTGGATATTTGAATGATGCATGACTTGTCAGGG